CACAAATCCAACAAATGTTTCTGCAACAATACTGGGCCATTCAGCGTGAATGTGGTGCATGTGGAAACCTCCAGAAAACGGTGTGACTGTGTTTTTACAGCAAGCAGAGCCAGCCCTGGAGGTTCCTCAGAGGAGGATGGTAAATTGGTTTGGCACAGCTTGTTTGTTCTTCCCATAGGGCTATTGTCTGAGACACTTCAACACCTTCCCTGTCGCTTTATTTCTGCTTTCCAACCTCTGAACTGGTGATCAAGATGTTGTTAGCGTCTGAACTGACTTCCTCTGCAGAGCAGTGAAGAAACATTCCTGTACATGTCAGTGGCTCGTGCTCTGTGCAGAAAGAAGGGTATACGCCCAAAGAGCGGCTAATGAAAAATATTTAACTGTCGTGGTTCAGGCATTATTTTGGTAGCATGGTCCTTCCTGCACAGATCACCTCCAAAATAACAGAGAACTGCAAAACCAGTTGAACCAAAAACCTGGAACTGCAGGGAGGAGAAACACCAGAACAAATGATTCACTTTCAGATATTAACATGAAATGATCAAGAAATGTACGAATCAGGAGTTTAAACCTATCATGTGGAAGTTTTGTGATTGATGCCAACCACCTGTGAGAGTGTCTATTTGTCTGCACTGTTAGTAAAATATCTCAGGAAACAGTAGACATATTTAAATGAATCTGCCAGAAATGAACCCCTGGATGAACATTTACATCTGATGAACTTTTGGTCTCATTCAGTCCCATTCAAGATGGTCACTACTGCTTATTGACATTACTCAACTCAAATATGACTCTACATTGATCAGTTTTAAAGATTCTGAGCTGAAGTCCAGTGAGGTGGTGGATGAGTCATCCTCAACCCATGCTCTAAGTCAGGGGTATTCAATTAAAACTCACTGAGGTCCACGTACTAACATTTCCTCCTAGTAAAAGGTCAGAACGAAAGTCCAATGTTTGACTTTTATGGTCTTGCCTATGCCCGTATTCACATTTTCACTGTTAACAAACTACACTATAGTAAACAACTAGCTCTTTTATCATATTTAAAAGTAGTCCCCACAAATGGTGCCCTGAGACGACTTCTGTTGTGAATTGGTGCTAAAATAAATTGAATTGAATTTAAATCAATTTAGGGCCTTTATTTCAGATTAAAACATAAAGCTCAGAATAAAATACATCTTAAATGTGCAAACAGAGCCTAATAATCCTTTTTCTCTTAAACTGAAGCGGTCCAAGCCTAAAGAGTTGAAGGCTTACACTTAAAGTAATAAAGTTCACATCTTTAGAAAACAGAAAACAATTTAAAAAGTGGCTCTTTTAGTATAAAAAGTGTAAACAGAGCAAGTAAAGATTTTTATCTTTTTTTTTTTTTTTTTTGCTTAAAGAGGCACCAACCTATAAAAATTTACGTTTTCAAGTAAAACACTTCAGAAAACAACAAATAAAAATGTATTTTAGGGAAAAAAATGAAAATAGAGCATTTAACACCTTTTCTCTTTTGATTATTCTTTATTTTACTTTCCTTAATGAGAGAAATGGACATGGGATTGTCCTGTCAGTAATTTAAATCTTGGTTGGAATGGAGTCAGAGCCGTTCTCATGTAGCTGAGCATAACATCTGTAGACTCATCAATGACTCTGAACAGCTGCATCCAGCTGTGCCAGCACATCATCTGCTAAAATTTCTGATTTTCTGCTGCTGTTGAAGCCGACATGAGGAGGGTGGATCTGTCATACTGGGGCACCAGTTCGGTTGTTCTCTGCTCAGACTTCAGCAGGTAACGTTGCTCAAAAGAGATAAAGAGCGCTTCACGTTGCCACTTTTAATTAATGCGACCGTTTCAGAGCATGAGGCAAACAGGTTTTGAACTGCCTTCCAGAAGAATGAACATTAATTTCTCTGTCCATGCATCTTTAAAACAGCAGTTTTCAGCATCAACTTTTTTTTAATTTTGGAGCACGACATGCTGTGTCTTCCTCTCTGTTCCTTCTCAACTCTTCTCTGAGAGCACGCTGCACCGGCCGTGCAGAGAAAACAAAACATTTGATTGGCTCATTAACTGTGTGATACTATCACCATAACACCTGAAGTAGAGTGAACCTAGTGCGATGTGTTGTCATTGTTGTATGTTTCTGTACAATGATGAAATTAGTTCTCTGCATTTAACCCTTCACACCTGAGATGCACCCAGGTGGAGCAGTAAGTGCCCAGGGAGCAGTTAGGAATTAAGTGTCGCTCAAAAGCACCACGACATCAGTGACGTGCAGTGAGGTTTGTGACAGGTAAGACACTGACTCGTCTGGAATCGGGTGCTCGCATATATTCCAGAATGTTCCAGAACTGCGCCGCTCATGATGGCTGCATGTTGGACTAGCTCTCTTACTCTCATTTTGAGATTTTGCCTTTTAAAAGTTTAATTCCTCTTTTTTTCTGGATGTAAATCACTTTTTTTCATATGATTACTTCCTCTGGTATCAGATGCTGCGCAGCTGAAAGGATTTTTACTGAAACTTATTTTTACTTTTAGACATTTATTATGATGTGCAACCATACCAACAAGGTGGTTTTCTACAAATGGGAGCTGCTGATTAACATTTCAAAAGCTCAAATAATACCTCAACTACATCCCCAAATCCCAAATGGGTTGAAAAGGAGGTTCCGTGGATGTATTACCGTCTACCTGGAGGCGGTGCTCGAGTGCCTCTCTGCAGAGATCTTGTAGGTAGTGGAATATGCGGCTTGTGACAGCAGGAGGACCGAGATCGTCCCCCGGCACCTGCAGTTAATCTGCGGCGACGAGGAGCTCAGCAGGCTGCTGGGAAAAATGGCTATCGCTCAGGGAGGAGTTCTTCTTGGCATTTACCAGTAGGCAGTCCTGTTGCTCAAGAGGACCGAGAGGTCTGCTGGGTCTGGGTGGACGGATCGGCATCTTCAGCCAGTTTCTTCAGATCTGCTGTGGGACGGACTGCTACAAGAGATCCTTCCTGCCCAAAGACATCAGCATCTGGAACAACTCTAATGAAACCAAGTTGAGCTACAACAACAATTAATTTCCCTTTGGGATTAATAAAGTATTTCTGAAATGAATTGAACTGAATATGAACCTAAAATAGAAACTTATATGCACTTCAGTTTTACCTTTTTTCCTTTTAAATAGGCATCTAATTATTCTTTAATCAACTCCATACTGCTCTCTTTTTAAATAAATAAAAATACCAGGTATTATCTTACCTTTATTTTAAGACGAACGAGTTTGGGAAAATGATGATGAGTTTAGAAAAATTGTTTAGTTTTGATATATGATCTTCCATTTTGTCTAAACAAATTTACGAGTGTACTGTACCCCCGCCTGCTCGGTGTCACAGAGGAACGCACAGCGACTGCAGCTGCTTCTTCGTCCCTATGAGGCAGCACTGCCCCCTATTGGTGAGGCACGGTACTTTCTGCCTCACCCTGTGTATTTCGACTGTGCAGTTATGATCATTTAGAAAGAAGAAATATGTCACACACTTTCATTCAATATATTAGACGGACTGTAGAACCGGTATATTGGCGATATAAAGAGAGACAGCAATGGACACGCTCCTACCACCTACTTCATATTTTGTATATGACACAGCACCACCAGAGGTGAACCACAGCACTACGCTGCCACACCTGCCTCCCCTGACTGCACGTCACTGCACAACATGTAGGCATGGCAGGGAGTTGAACCTGTGACATTCTGGTCCCAAGCTGGCTGTCCTACATCTAGACAACAGCCGCCCCCAAAACAGCTAGAGGCTCGTCTCTTCTCAGCACGGGACATCAGTGATGAATGTGCACTCCTTCAAGGAATGAAGAAGCACATGAACACTCACATGAACTGTAATGATACAGCATTAAAGAAAACACTCTGTTAATTTTATCTGCTTTAGCTGTAGCTCAATCATGCAAAATAAAAACCTTCTGTTTCCACTGATTTAACACTTACAGTACACACTATAATAAAATTAGTTTTTTTATTTTATTTATTCTGTCTGTTGTTTTTCTTATGTACTTGTTTTTAACACATTAACAATTCTTTGTAGTAGAATATTTCAGTGTTTGTGTGTCTGACAGGTTGTTTTCAGCTTCTCATCAGCGATTTGTTTCTGTTGCCATTTGAGTTTGTCCGTTCGTTTTATTTCATAATCCTCATTCCTGTCATTGCTCGGCCTCCGACTCCAGCCGTTCATCTGCAGTTACCCAGCTGCATTTGTGGGGACACCTATGGGCAGGACAGTCCACCGGCGCACAGACGACAACGTTTTTGCCAATGTGTGTTCGTGTGTCTGTCTGTTAGCAAAATATCTCATGAGCCCCCTGAACAGATTTAAATGAAACTTACAGAAAATAACCCTCGGGTGTCCATTAACAACTGGAGTCAATCCACTTCACAGTGGACGCCACAGCTAACCAACACTATTCAACACAAACAGCAGTCGTAACTCTGAGTTTCACAGATATTGAGCTCAAATGTGCTGTGGTAGTAGCTGAGAGTTATCCCTAACACACACCCTGCTTGGGTTTGACCAAAACAACTACAACTTTGTAATTCCTCTACAAAAGTTGATATGAGTGTAAAACTTTAGTACGAGATGCGGCGGGTGATATGCATTCATTCAATGAATGTTAGGACTTTAGCTGTAGTATTAATTATTTTATTTATTATCTTTAAAAATGATATTTTCATATTTTCCACTGCCTCTGATTATCGAAACGTTCACAGTAGTTAGCAGTTTGTTGTAAATTAATCAGTAAACTCTATTAGAAATATTTTAGGGATCGACGTGCAATGTTTTCCTTTGTCCACCAGAGGGCAGTGTGGTATTACAACACACAAAACTGTAGGGCACCATTATTGACCTGCTGAAAATTAATGAAAATTTTCACAAAATATGTTGACGAGACTTTTTTTAAAAGCAGAAGCTACATTTGTCCGGTTAAATAAACCTTGATGTTTGATCACTTTGTGTCCTCACACTGATATAATCCTTATGGAACTCTCTTTGGGAGTCCTGTTTGAGTTTTTATTCCTCTTGTTGGACTCGTTTTGGATCAGTGGGTTAGGTTCTGATGAGATGCTGTGTTGTCCTCCGTACTGCCACAACAATCTGGACTCTGCTGCAGAGATGTGGCCTCTTGAGCTGGGACTTTGACAGGAGGACTGAGGAGGTCCTGGGTACGCCAGTGGACAAGAGTCCAGGTTTCGGAGTAAACGAGGCTGGTAATAGTTGTGTCCGGGAAGAGCAGCAAGTGATGGTGGAGGACCATATGTGCAAGGTGAAGAACTGTAGGTGTACCACTGTTGACATCTGTGAAGGAAGAAACCATAAGCGTTTAATTTTTACACTTAACTTTTTTTGAATTAATGTTAAAAAAAGCCCACACCTGCAGGGTTGCATGTTGTCACACAGAGCAGGGTTAGTGGTGTCCCACACAGGAAGCATCTTCTCCTGGTTTCTGTTGTTGTTGTTATTGTTGTTGTTCCTGCCTTTATGACTGTAACGAGACCGGGTGACCTTCTGCTGCTCCTCACACCTCAAACCACCTGTCTCTCTGGTATAAATAAACATGAACGTAAGTATTTCAGTTTGTAAACGCACACAGAAAAACAAATGATCTGATTTGACATGAGGTGACATTCTGAGACTTCTACTTTGAGTTCAGTTCATTTCAGGTAAAAGTCATTGAGACTGTTTTTAAAAAAAATGGTATACTATTTTTTTCATGTGTATTTTGTCATTTTTATTCAGTAGACTCCATCTGTATCTTTCTTATGATGCTACCACCTGGAGGAGCCTGAGTACTACATCTAAAATTGCTCAATTTTATACAGATATTGAAAAGGGAAAATACATTTTGCTCATAATTTACTGTAAATGCATCCATCTGAATCAAAGAAAAAACACTTCTTCATTCTGCTCAAATTTAAAGACAGCCCTTCTCTGATTCACTCACCTCCCAGACGCTTTCTTTGAGTCCTTTTGAAGGCAGTCGAGCAAACAGCAGGTGATGAAGGCTACGGACATGAACAATATTATCCCTGAGCTTATGATCGAAGCCAGAACAGCCACACGAAAACCGTAGTCCTCCGACAAAGACAGAGCTAAAGAGTGAGAGAAGAGGAGAAAAGACAGATATGTTGACTTTTTAAGCACATGGGAAATGATTTATTAATCCACTAAATATCTGTAGAAAATAACAAAGTCAAATTGGCCTAATCTCAATTTTGCAGAAACTAGATGCCGCATATGCCGTGTTTGTTGAGTAGTGAGTTGAAGCAGGATCCAAATGCAGGCATTAAAAAAAACATAATTAAAACTTTAACTATAAAACCTGACAGTATTTTAGAACAAGAGCAGAACATGAGTCAAGAGGACAAACAGAATAATCTGACAAAGAACGGACATGAACTGGAAAATATAAAGATCTAGGACCAAATGCACCAAAACTTGTGACGATCCAAGAAAAACTAAGCAGACAATAATAACATGTAACAACATACAACAACATATAACAACTATAACAACATATAAAAACATATAACAACTATAACAACATGTAACAACATACAACAACATATAACAACTATAACAACATATAACCACATATAACAACTACAACAACATATAACAACTATAACAACATATAACAACATATAACAACTACAACAACATATAACAACTATAACAACATATAACAACATATAACAACTACAACCACATATAACAATTATAACAACTATAACAACATATAACAACATATAAAAACATATAACAACTACAACAACATATGACAACTATAACAACTATAACTACATATAACAACATATAACAACTATAACAAAATATAACAACATATAACAACATGTAACAACATACAACAACATATAAAAACATAAAACAACTACAACAACAAATAACAACTATAACAACTATAACAACATATAACAACTATAACAACTATAACAAAATATAACAACATATAAAAACATATAAAAACTACAACAACATATAACAACTATAACAACTATAACAAAATATAACAACATATAAAAACATATAACAACTACAACTACATATAACAACATATAACAACTATAACAAAATATAACAATACATAAAAACATATAACAACTACAACAACATATAACAACTATAACAAATATAACAACATATAACAACATATAACAATATATAACAACATATAACAACTATAACAACTATAACAACATATAACAACATATGATAAAACTATAACAACATATAACAACATATAACAACTATAACTACATATAACAACATATAACAACTATAACAAAATATAACAACATATAAAAACATATAACAACTACAACAACATATAACAACGATAACAAATATAACAACATATAACAACATATAACAATATATAACAACATATAACAACATATAAAAACACATAACAACATATAACAACATATAACAACTATAACAACATATAACAACATATGATAAAACTATAACAACATATAAC